AATAAAGTAAATAAAAACTGAAATAAATAACAGCTGAATTAACAAACTGACCCAAACTGACACTACTATAACTGAAAACAAATAACTACACATGCTGTCCTACGAACACAGTGGGGACCACTGATGTGGGGCCCACATCAGTGTTCTCTACAGTCTTGTGATCTGAAAATGACAGATGCCAAGAAGGATTCTTCTTATCCAAAAAATAGGCACCTATGAGGTCAATCTGAATAGTAATGCCTATTTAATGTCTCTTTTCTCTGTTTCTTTTCATTTTTTTTTTTGCTTTTTCCTTTGTCTTGTAGGTTCTTTTTCTTCATTGTTTTGGTTATTCATTTTAAGGAAAAAAATATCTGTTGACACAGACAAAATATCACCAACACATTTGGAACGAAAGTTCTTTTTGAAATAGGACCAACCAGTTATCAATATGGTGAAACAATGACTAGTTGTTTTCACTTCTGTCATCAATGCAATGAATAGTCAGTACATAAGCTCTTGAAAAGTTGACCAAAAAATGATATATTATAAATTTAAGATATTGATGCTATCCCATAAGTTAATATAGATTTCAAACAATGCAATAAAAGAATGGACTCATAGGTAAACAATGAGAGAAATGTGGAGTCTTACCAAGGAAATTGATGCAGATTTAAAATGGGTTAGAAGAACAGTCAATGGCTTGGCTGATGCATTAGCTAAACAAGGATCAACTAGGGTTGAAATTTTTTGGGCTGTATTGTAATAGTGGATATGTTATGGGATCATCACTCCACTTATGGACTGTTTGATGTGTAATTATTTTATGAAATACTTAATGAATGTTACCGATTCCAATAAAAATTAATAATAATGCAATAAAAGAATGATAGTGAACTTTTTTGATCAGTAACTATAGTGCTTTATAGGGATTAAAAAACAGAATGGAGTATATATACAATGGCATGCATCCCATAAAGCTTACTGGTTAACTATCGATAACCCAAAGCATTGTTTATATTACATTTGTGCCCAAAATAATTGATCCCTGTTTACCCCTTACTTGTCTAATGCATCAGCCAAGCTGTTGGCTGATCTTTGCACCCAAGAGAAGGTAGATTCTAGCTCCGATGCTAACTGTTTTATCTCCCTCATAACATGTTGTACTTCCATAGACCTTCGCTATTGTCACCACAACTATCTTTTAGTTGACTTTCACCATTACAATTTTATACCCCAAGGACTTCCCCAAATGCAATCTTTATACAGCTAGAAGGTTCTGCTCTAACAGAATCTCCTCGGTTGGCTGGCCAGAGTAGATACGCTAGGATATGGAGTTACAGCCTTTTATCTTTTCAAAGAAAGAATTTTCTTTTCAAAAGAAGAAGAAAGAAAGAAAGAAAAGTGAAACCTTTGACATTCATCAAAAAAAAAAGAGTGAAACCTTTGACTATTTGGTATGCTACTTGTTTGTAGCAACTCTTTATCAACACTGATTGGAACAAAACATAAACAAATCTCTTTTCCACTTTCATCTTTATGTCTAATTTCTATTTTATATACCATCAGCCAACCATGTTCCATCACAAATACTTGAAGCAACCAAATGCCTATAAAAAATAAATAAAAGCATAACTACTAACTCAACTCAACTCAGCCTTAACTCCAACTATTTGGAGTTGACAAAAACATAGACTATATTCAATTATAAAAAAAAAAAAAACATATACTATATTATTTTAAATAATCAGAGATAAAACATAGACAAATAAAACTTCTTCATGGTCAAGTAGTGAACCTAGTGGATGCTTAGTCATCCCAGGGAACTGTGTTATGTGGATTGAGAAACTATTAGTGATGTAGTAGGTCTGGCCCACAACTGATCAATTGATCAACAATTTAACACTTCATTAACACTGGGGCTAACACAATTTTTTCTTACACTTCTTGGAGATCTGAAATCTATGATTTTGAGGAAATGGAACTCACATGAATGAGGGCTCAGAGTAGATTCAACAAATAGATAACTGTATCCTCTCATAATCTTTCCTATATTCCTGCTGTTTGGTCATCCCCCAGGCAGGGGGATATGCCACCATCTTCACATAATGCCACCCATGTTGAATTCTATATTTTCCTAACAGGGATGTTGGTAATATGAAATCATTGCTGAAGTAGGATATCTTTTTATGGGGGTTGATAGAGAAAGGGAAAGAATTGAGAGATGTAGTGTGTTTTTCTCAGTATTCACCTTGTTATATCTGAATTATTAAACAAAACAAATTTATATTAAGTGGAAAAACAAATTTATATTCAGTCAGCTAGTAAAGGAGGATTTTGGAAATAGGTTAGGAGAGGTCCTGGGGTATCAGATATGTACTGTGGAGCTTGTTATCTAGTTTGAAAGATGGTCTTGTACTCAGGTAATGACTCATCACCCTCATTTGTAACTTCTTTTCTATTTAATAAAATTTGTATTTATAAAAAAAACAATAAAAAATAAAAAACTGGATGAAAAAGATTAAGAGGCCTCCACTAAATTAATGTTAGCAATGAGGAAATACATATAAAATAGGAGACAGATACATTGAATTAAATTAATGAGCTACATGGATATCTTAGATTGAGCCAGAAAGAAAAGGGTATGTGGAAGGGTTATTTTGTGGATTCTGAACTCACTGAAGCAAATGCATAGACCATTTCAAAAGAACGAACTCTAACATATGTTAATATACAAGATATAGAGTGAGTGCCTAGAGAAAAGACATTACCTGGTGAATCATAATATTCTGGTTCATCATAGAAAACCAAACCTTCCCGTAGTCTGTGACGTTTTCCTTCTGTACCTGCATACTGGAAGGTTGTATGCACTGCATATGGTTCCAATCTGAGTTGCTGATGCATGACCTGCCAGTGTAGCTTAAAGGCTTAGGAAGCTTTCCTACTGATGTGCAATCATTCCATGCAAGGCACTAGTTATAGATGAAATAAAAGAGAGCAATTGAAAAAGAATTTGTTCGGTGGGCTATTGTTTATCATATGCACCAAATTAGAGATAGAATTTTTTTGACTAAGAGAGTTGGGTGGATTGGGGGTAACTCACACTAAGGCTCTTTGAAGCCCCATTTTTGTGGGCTTCTTTTCTTTCTATTTTTTCATGCAGGAAAAAAAATGACAAAAGAAATAAGTGGTTATCTAGAAAGGCAATTCATGAAGTAACTGCCTCTGACCTGAACAAAGTAAGTATGTCCACTGCAAAATATACTTGCTGGGAGAATTCCCAACTTAAGATTTCCATCATAAGCATATACAAGTCCACTTTCCTCGTCCACAGATGGTCCCAATTGTTTGCGCACTAGTTCATTAAACCCATTCTGATCCCATATCTTTTCATCAGCTAGAAGTATCTCCTTCCATTCTTTTGCTAGTTTTTTGGTAGAATTTGTTGGTCGCCAGTGGAAAATTCCAATGTTGTAAGCAGCACCAGCTGTATTGTACAAACAAAATGGAGAAAGAATAACAGGAAAGTTTCACAAAATTAAATCAAAAAACCGCAAAATGTGAATTGGGTTGAAAAAAAATTGTTTGAAAAAAAATCCAAGAAAAAGAAGAATGTAACTTAAAAGTTCTGGTAATGACAAGCCATATTTTTAATGATTTTATAAATAGATGCTTTGGTAATTCAGCACCCACTGATAAATATTCTTGGTTCTGGAATACTCTTAAAATTTCTTTTCTTCTTTCTCAGGTGACTACTGGTCACTCTCCTTGCAATTTCTTTTTTTTCTTAAATAAATTTTTACTTTATTACAAAAAAAAAAGTTTCACAAAACCTTGGAAATTTTCAGTTTTGTATTGGGTCGACTAAAAAATCAATTGGTTTTAGGATGAAACATTTTAGACAAAATTTCAAGTTTTCACAGAATTTCTGGAGAAACATTTAGCTGAAATTACTAAAATTAAAAAAAGATGGAATATACAAAATTGTGTAGAAACATTTCTCTAATACTGTACACTATTTGTGGCCTCTATATCTAATTGTTTTCCTTAATGGTGACTTACAAGAAGTTTACAGCTTTTACACTAAGGGTTCTATGGTGATGCTGAAAAGGGTAAGGTTCTTTTTTTTTATTTTTTGATAATTCTGAAAAGGGTAAGGTTTATATGCTAAATAAGTCATTATATGGTTAAAGCAATCCCATGAGCCTAGTTTGATTGTTTTAGAGATGCACTATAGAGAGTTGGCCTTACTCAATTCCAATCAAATCTGTTCCAGACACTTGTGGGGAAGCTATTATACCTCTGCACTACTCGACTTGATATTTCCTATGCTGTGAGTGTGAGTAGTCAATTTACGCATGCTCCCAAAGGCATTCATTTAGCAGCTTCTGAGAGGGTTTAGTGTTATTTAAAGGGAACTCCAGGAAAGGGAATTCTTTTTGCTAATCATGAACACATGATAATAGAGACTTATATAGATGTAGATTGGGCAGGCTATGTTGACGACAGGAAATCTATATCTGGATATTGTAGTCTTGTGGCCAGTAATCTAGTCTCTTAGAGGAGTAAGAAATAGTCAGTAGCTGCAAGGTCCTCATCAGAAGCAAAATATAGGGCGATTGCCCATGGAGAGTCAGAGCTACCATGGCTTAGATCACTTGAGGAGTTAGGCATTGCTCATGATAAGTCAATGGTGCTATATTGTGATAATCAAGCGGTTATCAATATAGCCCATATTCCAGTTCAGCATGACACAACAGAACATATTGAAGTGGATTGACATTTCATATTGGAGAGAGTAGCTTTTGGGCTACTCCGAAAAATACTGAGATTAACTATGGTTTAATGGTAGAAAAAAGGAGAAAATTTCAGAATAGAAGCAAGATGAAGGAAGAAAAAAGGGTTTGGTGGACTAGAGAAATCTAATTGATCTCCCAATCACCTAATCACTTTTATTAGAATAAATTTTAGTTGTACTGAATTTGCAATATTGCCCCTGATGGGACAGTTGCAAGGAATAAATAAGAGGGTTAGTAGGTCCATTACAACTAAGACTACTCACTTGCAGTAAAATAGATTACTCAACAAGATCATAATTTGTTCGTAGAGAAAGAAATTGTTAAGATGTGTCGAATAGGGGTAGTTTAGTCTTCTTCTGTTTATTAAGTAACTTGCTTATGTGGCTGTGTTATTAGAGTTAYWCTGMCCCACASTTAARTAAGGGCATTTCTGTCTTTGTAAACATGATTAGAAGCTAATATAGATTAAGGGGGTCGACTGAATGGGTTAACCATCAGATTTTCGACTGACCCCTCTTCT